ATGGGTGAATCTCGAAATAATTATGGTGAGTGACAGAAGCCAGCCGTCCAGTACTCTTTTGTACCATACAAGGGAGTGCATACTGTATGATCCCATGTATCGCGGTTCTGGATAATGCCTCCTAACTACAGTGGCAGAAAGCAGATGGCTTATTTGCTTGGGAGGAGGGGAGGGGGACTTTACCAAGGGTAAAGAACTGTTAAGAGTAACGGGCATGCTCACTCTCTGGACTGTAGTGGTGATGGCTTCCCGGGTGCATACTTACGTCAAGACTTAGTAAATTTTACACCTTAAATATGTGCAGTTTATTGTATGTAAATTATACCTCAATAAGACTATTAAATAATTAAAAGTAAAAAGCCCATAAACTGTGTCAAGCATTTAAGACTGCCTATCATGTAACAGCGGCCGGTTGAAAGTTGGCCCTTATTTTTAAGGGCTTACTGTCTCAAGGTCAAGGGCTCAGAGGGGTTACACGACTCCGGGAAAGGGGGTCCGGTGTCCCCCTGGAAGGGTCCGACCCCGAGACCCGGCAGGGCAGTCCGAGCGCCGCGGGCTTCCAGTGGAGCCCTGGCGCCCTCTAGTGGTCCTCCTGGGCACAGCAGGCTACGGCCCCGCCCCGCCCGGCCGCGTCCTGCGCGGGCTTCGCTGCCAGGGGCGCCGCCTGCTCCAGAGGCCGCCCAACCCCGGCCTCCAATTGGCCCAGGTACCAAACCTCGATCTAAGGCCTCCGCCATGCTGTCGGACTCTTGATGTGCTATAGCGCCTGTGGGGTGTCCTAGCCCTGCAGCAGGCACCCTCCGAGGTCCACGACTGGGACAGGGCTGGAGAACAGGGCAGACACAGCTGGTCCTCGCAAGGCGCCCTCTCTCCACCGGCCCCCTCCTTGCAGCCTCCCCGCTGCCCTCTGACCCTGCATCCTGCTCTCCCAGGGGCTGTTGACCAGCCCCTGCCCCAAGCCCCGCAGACCTCCTAGGCTTCCGAAGTGGGAATGGGGCTCTGCTGCTGTGCCCTGCGGATGCACAGACCCACAGGTATGTGCCACCGAGCCTTGACATGGCTCCGGGCCACCTGGGTGCACATGGAAACAAAAAAGAGTGACAGGACCTCAGTCATCACCACACAAAAATCAATAGCAGGTGGGTTGCAGATCCAGTGTAAAAGGTAAAACAACACAGCTTTAAAAAACACACATGGACATCTTGGCGAAATCTTCATGGCTTTGGGGCAGGTGGAGTTCTTTAAAAGGACAGAGGAAGTGACGCTGTAAGGATATTGTTGATAGCTTGCATTCCCTTAAAACTGAAAATTTCTGTTTATCAAAAGACATCATCGAGAGTGAAAAGGCGGGACAGAGAGAAGATATTCGTATGGATGGCCAATAGAGAATTCTCACCAAAATGCGTGATGATGCCTACGAATCGGTAAGAAAAAGGCGTAGGAAAGTGGCGAAAGCGTTGTAGGGACACTCGTCTTCACAAAAGATGCGCCAGTAGCCAATAACTTTATTACTGTTAAGGAGACATGAATTACAACTAGGGTGTGACACCACTACAGAGCCTCCAGGACTCCTGGACACAAAGGCGATTGGACACGCAGTGAATAGAAGTCACCCGAGTGTGTTCTGAAGCTGGACGAACACACCCTCTGACCCAGCTGCTTTCCAGAAACGCGTGTGGGTTCGCCAAGGAAGCGTTCTGGAATGTTCAGAGCATCCCTGTTTATAAGAACTGCAAAGTGGAAACAACCCAAATCCCATCCACAGGAAAACAGTGTGGCGATGTGCGTGCTCTCATGGGAGCAGACTGCACAGTCTCTCAGTTCCCAACCTCAAAGTGTGATGAGCAGTGGAGGAAGCAGAGGGCGCGCCGCCGGAGAGGGCACGGGGTCTCTGCTGCTTTCCTGGCAACCTTTGTAAATCTGGTGGAGCAATAGGAGCATCTTTTGTCCTAATAAGGCAGCAGCTCTAGCAGTGGGAGAGAGAGAGAGGCCTGAGTAGGAGCTGTGGACAGCCGGCCCCGCCCTGTTCTCTCCAGAAGGCAGAGGGGCTGCCAGGGAGCTGACCTTCGGGGGCTGCGGGGAAGCCTCCATGAAGTTCCGGAAGCACAGTGCCCAGAGAGTGTCTGGGCTGGACGCACGGAGGTGCTGGTAGAGTGGTGGTACCTTTCTGCCCCGCCCTGCACATCTCTCCCACCTGTACACTCATCTGCATCCTTTATCATGTCTTTTTATATAGTAAAGTGGTAAACTTAAGTAAATGTTTCCATGAGTTCTTGAGCTGCTCTAACAAATTAATCATGTCCACAGGGGAGCGGGTGGTGGGAACCTCCGATTTGGAGCCAAGCGGACAAAAGCTACGGGCATCTGGGGACGCTGCTACTCTGAATGGCATCTGAAGTGGGGGATCTCATGACACTGAACCCTTGACCTGTGGGGCCTGACATATAGTGTCAGAATCGAGCTAAATTGTAGGACAGCCAGCTGGTGTCAGAGAGCTGCTTGGTGTGGGGACCCACCTTACACTGGGTGCCAGGAAGTGTGGCGCTTGTGTGGGTAGTGCAGGAGGCTCACAGGACCACAGGAGGGAGGGGAGCTGGTTTTCCTGATACCCAGGAAGGTGCTTAGGGTGCGATTCTGTTGGTATAAAGTTCATCTAGGCCAGGCCCACCTGCTTGGGTGGCAGGATGGAGGACGCAGCAGCCTCAGCCTTCCTGGGTGGGGTTTGGCGGGCTTCGAGGTGCCTCCACTGGCCATTTGTGCCCCTTCTGCACGTGTCCCATGGAGAGGTTTCCTGGGAATCAAAACACACAGCCTGGCTTCCTCTGGCCCTCGCCGCCACACCCACCGAGGCTTGTCCGGGTCGGAGGCCCGTCCAGGGCACCCCCGCCTCCTCCCCACAGCTTTCTGACCCTGTGTTGCTGCCGAAGCGGCCTTGCTCACCTGTCTGTCCAGTCTCTCCCTGTCCGAGCCCTCCTCCTCCTCCCTTTGCGACCGACCTGGAGGCCAGAGGTGCGCACCTGTGTGCTTGTGGGTGTGTGTGTCACAGTGATGTGTGGCCTGGAGCGTGGCTAAGACTGCCACTTACTAGATGTGTGGCCACAGGCAAGTCACTCACCCTCTCTGTGCCTCGCCAAGCTTGACTGTGAAGGGTCATCCTGGTGACCCCCAGGATGGACGAGCTTTTGGAAAAGTGTTTGCAGTGGGCCTGGCATGGGGTGTCATCCCCCAGGGCCACCCCACCTGCCTGTCCCCACTTGGGGACTGGTTCTCCTTCCCTGGAGGGACAGACTGCACTGAAGGGATGCCCCCATCTCAGGCCCTGCCCACAGGAGCGTAAGTTAGGAGAGATGCTGGCCGGGGTGACCCACTTTCCTCTCCATAGGTGGAGAGGCGTTTGGAGTGCCCTTCACCGGGAGGGTGTGAGCCCCGTCAGCAGGTTCGGCAAAGCTGCTGGGGGTGGGGGTTCTGGCGGGCACCGTGAGGCCAGACCAGGGAGCGGCACATCCTGCCCCCCGACTGGCAGGAGCCCACCTCCAAAGGGCACCTAGGAGCGTCCTGGAACCAGTCACCTCCCGGCTCATCTCTCTGAGTCCCTCAATTCTACACAGGCAACAGGTAAAAAGCCCTAGAATCCAGAAGGGCCTTGGCTGTTTTTGAGGAGCTGCTAGCAGATGGGGGGGCCTGAATTCTCACTGTGGGTGGGACCACTTTAAAAGGAAAGAGCAGCCTGTGCATGGCCAAGACAAGGAGACAGAGCGGCCTCGGCTCAGGGAAGAGGCAGAGGTCCCAGTTGCCGGCCGGCGTCCTCTGGCTGGCCTCTTACTTGGCTAGGAGGGCACCGCTCACGTCGCTGGAGTCCCATCAAATGCCATCTATTTGTGGCCTGGACCCTGACTGGCAGGAGACATGTGACCACAGGCAGGGGGTATTTTCGGCACTGGAGGTGGGATCTGTGCGGCGAACCCAGCACCCATCAGGCAGCTCCAGCCATCTGCGGGGTCCCAGGTATGATGCTGTCAGCGCCTCGTTCCTACCCTAAGGGGCCCCAGAGTCCCCACGGGGACCTGCCCAAGGGCAGAGGGGAAAGCAAAGTTCAGCAGGCCAGGAAGCCACTGTGACCTTGTCTCAAGGTGTCATCACTGTGGGGTCGGCCTGGCCAGAGCAGCTCTGCACCTCCGTGGGTCTGGTGGGGGCTGGCCAAAGGCCAAAGGGCAGCTCCCACAGCAGGTCAAGAGGCTAGGGGCTCTCAGCCAGCTAGGGTTGCCTTGGTGCATGGAGATTACGTGGAGGGAGGGGGCACAGACCCTGAGGACGGCCCTTGGGGGCCGCTGGGAGTCACAGTCACTTCTGTTCTCTGACCTCCTGCCTAGGTAGGGACAGAGCCAGGCTCTCGCCGCTGACCCCTGAGTGGGCCCTGGTCAGCCCCAGGGAGATCTCCCCGCAGAGGCTGGTGGGAGGTCATCCCCAAAGGTCACCTCCCCCCATGGCCGGTGGCTACCTGGGGCCTGCTGGGACAGGCCGGGCTGAACCAGCCCAGGAGAGCTGACCCCCAGTGGGAGGTCCTGGGAACCACTTTGCTGCATCCAGTCGACCTTGGAACAAAGACCTGAGGGAAGCTGGGGAAGGTGGGGCTGACCCAGCCAGCCAGAAAATGCTCAAAGGTTTGAAGAAAACCACTTCTGGAGATGAAAATCCAAACATGAAGAATTTTATTTTTTTAGTGTACTTCACAAGGTATCATTTGGGGTCAGCCCAGAAATAAGGAAAGCGGGAGCGGAGGGTTTTCTAACCAGATTTGAAAGCAGCACAGCCTCTCTGGGGACCCTGGTCTGTTTTCTTTCAGGACAGAAATGGAGGGCTGGCCCCTGGGCCAGAGAGGCTGGGGGCATCCACAGGGCAGGCACGGCGCTGGCAGCAGGTGCCTGCCAGTGCTGAGGGCCTGGGTCCGTGAAGACCCCCCCTGGATGTGGGCCCTGTTGCCCAAGCGATGCTGACCCAAAATGGAAAACTTCCAGTACAGCATCCAGCTGAGCGACCGGGACTGGGCCGAGTTCTCAGCCACCAGCGAAGAGTGTGGCCTCCTGCAGGCCGGCCTGGCCTCCGGGGACGAGCTCATGCCCAGCGACACTGACCAGGGGGACAGTCGTGGCGGCGGTCCTCCCGGGCCCCTGACCCTTCTCCAGGGACAGCAGGCTCCCGGGGGGAGCGGCTGGCCCAGCCTCGAAGAGGAGGACAAGGCAGCCACCCGGCGGCTGGTCAGCAGGTCTTGGCATGAGCCCAGCTTGGCTGCGGGGGCTGGTCAGCAGACACCCAGCACGTCCACACGGTCAGAAGCTCTGCCATCCCTCAGCTCTGGTGCCGCTCCTCCCAGCCAGAGCTCATCTCTCCTAGGGCCCGAGTCTTCCGGAGACGAGATGCAGAGGCTTCTGCAGGGGCCAGACCCCCAGAGCCCTGCACCCAGTCCCCCTGGTGGGCCTCCTCCGAGCCTCGAGTCCTCTGGCTGCAGGGATGTCCCCCAGAGACCCCTCGGCAGCCCTGGAGCCCCGCCACGCAGCCCCAGCCGAAAGAAGAGGCGTGCTGCGGGCACCAAGGGGGGTGGGCACCCAAGTACCCCAGGCTCTGCTCCCGCCCAGCTGGGCTCCCCACTGCTCTCTGAAACCAGACCCGAGGGGGGCCCTGGCCTGGCTGGGTCCGAGGGGAAGGGTCTCCCGGCTAAGACAGAACAGCAGACAGCAGGAGCCGGGCAGGATGAACTGGGGCCAGAATCTGCAGGAGCCTTTGAGCAGGTGACCAGGCAGGGGCCAGGTTTGGATCTATCGCCACCTGTCCCAACAACGGGACAAGGGACGGACCTGCTCAGAGGGCCCCTCAGAGCTGAGCTACATACTGTGTCTAAACCTGCCCAGGAGGCTGGTCCAGATGTCCTGATGGCTGAGTCAGATGTGGCTCTGTCTACACCCACCTCCAAGCCTAGACTGGATCTGGACCTCTCTATCCTGGACCTAATGGTCAAGCCGGAAGTGGACTCACCTACACCTGTCTCAAAGGCTACACCATGTGCAGCTCCACCTCACCTTGCTCCCAAGGCCCAGACTGATGTGCACGTGCCCGGACCTGCCGCCGACCAGGCTGGGCCTCGTTTGGTGGCGATGGATGTTGCACCAACAGCAGGGCCAGGTTTGAGCCCAGCTGTGCCTCCAGGGGGGCTCCGAGGGAAGCCTATATCAGGGGTTCCTGGACACCACTTGGGGGAGACCCCCCCAGGCCCTGTCCAAACCCCCAAAAAGAAGAAAGTGCGATTCTCCACAGCTGTGCCCAGCCCCCAGGAGCTGGGCTCAGGAGAGGCCCTGGGCCCACCCTCACTAGCCACAGCCCAGCCCTCGGCCCCCAGGACAGCAGCTGGGGCCCGCGGGGGGCCTGGAGGCTGGGACGCCATGGCAGTTGGGCCCCGCACTCCTCAGCCTCGGATCCTCAAGCACCTGCCTCCTCCTGCCCCCTCTGCCTCCGGAGGGCCTGGGCCCAGGAGCTGCTTTACAGTGACCCTCCCAGAGGCCTATGAGTTTTTTTTCTGTGACACTATTGAGGAGGAGGACGAAGATGTGGAGGAGGTGCCAGAGTCTGGCCAGGCCCCAGCCGAAGTCCAGTGGCCAGACATGTGTGAGTTCTTCTTCCAGGACTGCAGAGCCCAGAGGCCGGGACACCGGGGTGGCCTCTCTGCAGTCCCACCCCCACAAGCTGTGCCTGTGCCAGCCCCTCTACCTGGAGACCTGATGCCCATCTCCATCCCTGAGGCCTATGAACACTTCCTTGGGGAGGACAGGTCAGCGGACATGCGGGGGCTAGCTGACTTTCTCCAGCTGAGGGCCACGGAGGCCCCCAGGCCAGTCCCCGGGGGAGTGGGGCCAGGCACCCTACCAGAGCCCAGCCCAGGCACAGCACAGCAGCTCCATCTGGTGGCCAGGCAAGCAGGTAGGTGTTGTGTGGGCCCCAGGGCCTGCCAGGTGCTGGGAACACAGTGTCCAGGGAGCTCAGCCAGAAGAGCCCCTGGGGCGAGGCAGGCCAGGACCCGAGTCATGAGCTGGTGGGGAGGCGTCAGGGGCGATCTGGGAAGAAGGACCAGCTCCCAGCCTTCCCAGGACACAGTCCAGGTGGGACAGCCCAGGCCAGGCACCAGGGCCACTAGGGGCTGAGTTCAGCCCTGACTGTCACCCTGTGCTGAGGCCCGGATGACAGCAGCACTCTGCCCCCAGCCTCTAGCAGAGCAGGCGCCAGGGTGGCTCTCCCTCAGGTGTTCATAGACTTCACCTCACATTCCCTTTGGGAGCTATTTTGCACACTAGGAGATGTGTCACAGAGGCACCTTGACTGTGCCGCACACTGCTGTGCGTCTGGCATAGTTCACAGGGAGGATGTGACTCAGACAGTGTGTCCTGGAGCAGACAAGTGCCAGGACAGACGTGCCCCAGGATAGATATGTCCCCACATGGACTGGCTCCAGGACAGGCCTGTGCCAGGATAGATGTTTCCTGAGGCAGGCGTGTCCTGGGACGGATGGGTCTGCACAGAACAGCTGGAGTCAGGGTTCGCTTCTCCTTCCTAGGGGAGCCTCGGGACTCCCTTGCCGCGTTTACCTTCAACCAGAATGACATGTGCCTGATGTTCGTGGCCTTTGCCACTTGGGCTGTGAGAACCTCAGATCTGCATACCCCAGACGCCTGGAAAACAGGTTTGGGGGGCCTGGGGGAGGAGGGGCTGGAGCCCACAGGGATGAGGGGTACACAGACGCACAGGTCTCTCCCCGGACCTCGCCCCTCCCATTCCTGACCCACCTAGCCCTGCTGAAGAGGCCAGGCCCCATGGCAGAGGCGGTGGCCCGGCGGAGGGGAGCCGCACTCAGGAAGCCCTGTGCTCCTTGCAGTGCTGCTGGCCAACATCGGTACCGTCTCTGCCATCCACTACTTCCGCCGGCAGGCGGGGCAGGGGCGCTGAAGCCACAGCCACAGCTCCTAGGACCCAGGCTTGGACCAGGAAGGCGCAGGACAAGGAAATGGCCACAGGTGCTCACAATGAGGCACTGTCCTCAGGCCTTGCCCTTTGACCCCTGTGTTCTACAGATGTAGGAAGGAGCCAGTGTCCTTGGTCCCGGCTCCACAGACTCCGCCCAAAGGCCTGAGGCCAGGCCTGTGCTCCACACCTGGGAGGGGGGGCATTCGGGAGGCTGGATGAGTAGGGCGAGCGGGCAGCTGGTTAGTAAGGTGGCCAGATCAGCGAATAAAGAGATGGGGCATCCAGTGAAACTTGAATTTCAGACACACAGCATTTGAGACATACTTACGCTAAGAAATTATCTGTGGTTTATCTGAAATCAGATTTAACTGGGTATCCTATATTTTATCTGGTTCTCTAGTTGGGGGTGAGGGGCAGGACTGTGCACTAATTAGAGGGTCAGAGCAGCAGTGAGACCGTAGCTGGAGGCTGGCGTGTGGCAAGGGCGATGAGGTTGGGGTGGGGGTATCCCAGGGACTCTGCCCTATTTACAAATGGGCTGGGCTAGTGAGGACCTCTGAGGCCTCTCTGACCTCCTGAACCCCAAAGGCCTGTAGCAAGACCTCCTTGGAGCCTACCTGATACAATGAGCAGGTACCTACAGGGGCCTGCAGGAAGGTGGCCCAGTGGTCCCTGCAGGGTGGGAGTCAGTAGGGCTGAGCCTGGAGCCCCTCCTCTGGGGAGCCCTGGCATCAGGTGAAGGGACTGGACACCTGGGGTTGTCCCAGGGCTGAGAGGAGCTAAAGCAGGGGCAGGAAGGTGGGGGGGGGGTGCACGAGGCTGGGTGCTGGGTGGGCATGCGGCCTCAGGCAGATGCGCAGGGATACCAGGATGGTGGGGGACTCCTGGTGGCCGGGCAAGAACGTGTGGACACGGCACCAATAAAATCTCCTTCTCTTTCGTTTTTGTTTAGTCTCTTGTCAGCTCCTCCTGACCAGTCCATCCCTCTCCTCACATGCCCCAGGTACCTCCTCTCTGCGTGTGAAGGCTCAGATCTTGCTGACCTCTAACCCTCCGGCCCTCTGACCTCACATACTCTGACCCTCGCTGTCATGACTTTTGCAGCCCTCTGACATTCGCACCCGTGCCATCCTTGCACTCCCAGCCGAAGCCCCCGTCAGGTCCCCTCCTTTGTTCCTTCCCTGGAAGGCGGGCTGAGGCTCGGTCTTCTGGGTGCCCAGCCACACTGGCAGAGCACACTCAGGATGGGGCCCTCCTCTAGGCCCCTCCAGAACCCAGGGAAATTCAGGGTTCTGGAGCCTCCCCCTACCCTGCTGAGGCAAGGCCCTGACCCGGTATTGGACAGGGGTGGGGGCCAGTGAGCCTGTGGCCCTACAAAGAAAGACCCAGGCCCTGCTGGGAACACCTCTCCAGGGTTGAAGCTGGTCCCAGGACGCAGCCAGCCTGGGGGGCTGTCAGATCCACTGGATGAGCCCCATCTCAGCCTCAGGGGCTCTGCGGGGCCTCCACCGGTGGGAGGGAGATGGAGCCTTTTCCCAGAGGGTGTCGTAGCTCCTGGGGGGATGGCCGTCTGGTGGGGAGGACAGAGGGGCATGTGCTTAGGGGAGAAATACCCACAGCTCCCCCCAGAAAGAAGCCAGGGCCCTCACTCACCTGGGGGAGGTGGCAGAGGGCTGGGCGGAACTTCCCTGGCAGAGGGGACCTGGGGATCGCACCACAGATGTGAGAGCTGAGCCCTGGGGACAGCGCTTGGAGACCACACCGGGAGCCCGCCAGCCCCCAGCCCCCCACACCTCTCCCTCCAGCCCTCCCCATCCCCGCCGTCCTGGCTCCCTGTGCTCGGTCTCCACCTCCCCTGCCCCAGCAGGTCCCAGAGGCCTCATGCTATGTCTCCCCCGACAGACCCCTGGCCCAGGGAAGGTGCTGCCACTCACACGCCTAGGGGAGTCTGGGGGCCCCTGGCCCTTGCCAGGGCCTCGGCACCCCCTAGAGGCTTGGGGCTGCAGGGCTCCGTTCTCGGACAGCAAGCGCGGGCTGGAGAGTCCAGAGACAGGCATAGGCACAGGGACAGAGGGCACCGGGCTCAAGGGCTCAGGTCCAAGTGGGCTCTGCGCTGCACTGAGGAACTGCCAGGGAAGTGTTGGTGACCTGAGGCCCTGGGCCAGGACCTCCACGGAGCTAAGGGGTGCCCCACCCAGAAACCCCCTTAGCTTTCATGGCCTGAGCAGACCTCAGGCTTCGGGCGTACTGTAAACATAAGGATGTGAACACATTCAGCTCTTTCTTTAACCCACAGGGGACTGACCTCATCCAGGCCCCGGACATCTGTGATCCTGTGGTGGGAGGTGGCAGGTGGTGTGTAGGGATCCGCATAGAGTGGAGAGTGGGGCATCTCCAGAGAGTGGTCTGGGGCGTTGGGTTCGCCCTCCAGGCCCAGTCTGCTCAGCTGCAGGCAAAAAGCAGAAGAGACGGACTTCCTGGAGCTGGAAGTAACCCAAGTCCGGCCTTCCTGTGCAAGGGGCCTCGAGGAGGTTCCATGACCACCTGGGCCCAACAGACAGGGGCCAAGGAGGTGGAGGGAGTGGGGGAGCCAGGCCAGAGAAGGGTCAGTGCACCAGGCTCACCTTGGTCAGGTCCAGGTGCAGCGGGGTGCCCAGGCCAGGCCCCTCAAAACGAGCCTTGCTCCTAGGTGACCGACGACTGCCGCCCCGTCTCAGCTCTGCTCTCGGCCCACTGCTGCTGGTACAGCCGGGATTGGCCTGATCCTGTGGGGACCAAAGACCCGAGGCCATCCCTCATATAGCCCCCCGAGGCTGCACAGAGCTCTCTCCAGTCTGAGCCCCCTTCCCTAAGGAACTAGGGTCCCTCTTGACATGGGGTATTATGGGGGACCCAGGCTCCCCAACATGAATTTCCCTCAGGGCCCCCTGCCCCTTCTGCTCAGCCCCGTCCCCTGTACGCACGTGTGCAGGCTGGGCAGGGCAGCCTGTGGTGAACACCATTGAGGACCCAGGGAGGGAATGGCTGGTATGGGTGGATGGGGGTGCCAGGTACCCCGAGTCCCAGCTGGTTCGTCCTTCTGAAGATAGTGAGCCTCGGCCGCCACTCATGACCTGGGCAGCCAGAGGGGATGGTGAGCCAGAGGGCAGCACCCAACTGCCCACCCACCGTGCCCAGAATCACACTTCTGCCCTCCTGTTTTCACCATTGCCCGGGATCAGACATCCCCCTGCTGACCCCTCACCTGGGTGGGCCTCCGAGGCCCCAGGAAGCTCTCAGGGCCCAGCAGTCGGGGGGCTCCATCCCTGCAGGAAACAGCCTGCAGGCAGAGCAGCCAGAGGCTGTAGTCCTCATAGCTGGCACACACCACACGGATGGTATTGATGAGACGGCCTGCCAAACAGACACTGTGAGGCACCGGGCAGGCAGGGCATCCCACAAGGCACCCCAAAGAGCTGGGGTGCCACCAGGCTCGTGCCACCTCCCCCCCAGGCTGGGCTCGGCCCACCTTTGATCAGGAAAGAGTGGACCTGCTTCTCCTCCTCCTCCAGGTCGATGTGGACAGCACCGAGTGGGAGCTCCCCCTGCGGGGGCAGGGTCAGAGGGGTCCTTGGCTGGGGGCAGCCCTGGGCCTCTGCCTGGCCCCATTTCTCCACCTCACTGTCAGGGCTGGGGTGGGCACTCAGATGCCAGGCAGAGGGCAAGGCGGGGCCAAGGCTGACATGATGCCAGGTGCCCCATCCATTCTTAGCTAATGTCAGACACAGACAGACCTTAGGGGGTTCCATGCCCTGGATGACCTGCTGAGACACAGCTTGGGTGGGGAGGGTATTCGGGGAGCCCCCATGCGTGTTTCCTAGAGGCTGAAGGTCACGATTGCACCCAAAGTAGATGGATGCCCTGATGCACGTGGCAGATGTGCTCCAGCCCACGAGGGCCTCCACGTGCACACACGCACACACATGCCCCTCAGGCACCTGGAAGATGCCCGCTCAGAGGCACAGCACCCCTCGGGGACACCAGGCACCAGCACAGGATGGCCTCGCAGGAGCCACTTGCTACAGGTGAGGGTCATCTGCCCCTTCTAGGGTGCTAGGAGGCGCCAGGGCACCGGCCCCTCCTTGCCCACATCAGAGCTGACCAGAGAGGCAGGCTGGAGGGCGGGGCCCATGTGCTCTGTCCCAACAGGCCCCGAAATACAGGTTCCTCCTGAGCTGCTGCCCCCTCCCACCTCCGCACACAGGGCACCTCCTTGGGGCGGGCCCATGTGTGGGGCACCCACCTTAAAGCAAAGCCCATCTGCTTCCTCAGAGAAAATGGCCAGGGAAGTTGGGTACAGGATGAGGAGCCGGTCCCACTGTTCCTGGAGGGGGTCGAAAGTCAAAGTGGAGGCTCGACTGGCCTGTACCCATTCCCCTCCCTGGCCTCCTCACCCGTGTCCCCAGCCCACCTGTGAGGGCAGATGCTGCAGCTTGACCCTGGAGGCGCAGATGGCGCTGCCCACCGCTGGGCGCCCCAACACTGTGTGCAGCCGGCTCAGCCTATGCTGTAGAGTCCCAGGAAGCTCGTCTTCAGGGGGCCCCTGGTGAAAGGGGGTCAGGGAACAGCGGAGGAAGTGGGGATGGGAAAGGGGCGCAGGGGCTCCCGGCACTGACCTGTGGGGGTGCTGTGTGGCAGTGCCTCGCTCCTACAAGAGCCATCTGCTTTTCCAGGTGGTAGAGCCAGCTGCCCAGCTCGGCCTGGCTGGGGCACAGCACGAGAAGGGGGGCGGGCAGCGGGCCTGTGGTTGGATGGGCAGAGTGGGCTGGGTGGGCAGCCTGCAGGAAAGGCCACCCAAAGGGCTCTCCATGGACCCTGGGACCTACTGTTGTGGCCCCTGCACAGCTCTGAATGCCCCAAGCTGCTGCCTCCACCCAGCCCGGTGCTGCACCTGTGCTCACTGGAGGAAAAGCCAGGACCTTTATGAGCTCAGGTCCAGCCAGAGTCCCGGGGCTCTGCAGAGA